ATTTTTTCCCTTCACTCCAAAGTTTAACCATAATCTTTCTTCCATATGCTCATTCTGTGAATTTTTTTAACATTATCTAGATTTAAATGGGTTAGCGAATTAGGAATTTGAGTGAATACTTTTGCATTAGAGCAATAAAATGCTCTTGGCGTAATTTTCTTTTGGGGTGAACTTTCTGAAAGCACAATAACGGCTATGTCTTTTTGGCTCTTTCGATTTTACATTTTATTTTATTTTTTAATTTCGAAACCAAAATGTTGGCAATGCTTTTATTCGTATTTAAGTAGAGTTTCGAGACTACCAGTAAATCAGTAATATGAAATGTATTCACCCTATTTCGTTTAAGGTGATGAAGGACTGGTAGTAGAATTTTCCCACAATGATAGGAGTGAGCTGACGTTCCTATTGAATTTCACATTGCCTTGCTTTCCCAAAAGTTGTTCTCATTTAGGGTGGACTGCAGTTTCGACCTCGCATCGGTCTTATCAACACCCCTGGCGGGAGTCATCACCTTAAACAAAATAGGGTGAATACAATGCTTTTCTTAATAGGCCAAAATTATTTAACATTTCTAAGCTAAGGCCTTCCAGTTCCACAGGATCTGTTTCTTATGCCACACCTCAATTTTTTACTTTTTTTTGCACGTTGAGAACCAGGTTTAGCTAACTTGTTACAAAATTATGGCAGACCCTTTCTGCATGCTCTGTTGACATAAGGATTACTGGTTTGCCATAGGGCAAAAGCTAGTTAACCTTGTTTTCACAACTTGGTCGGAGTGACAAAGAGTCCTGGAAATCATCATGAATAGTATGGCAGAGGATGCATGACTAGGTACATTCCACAATGTTTCCCTGTCCCTCCAACAAAGTTGCGAAAACGAGGTCAAACAAATACGTAAAGCCGAATTTTGTGCATATTACCTAGATAGAGGAACCTGAAAATATTTAGGTTATAAGTATATCATTTATTCATCTTATTTCGTTAAAGTGAGGAAGGACTATCAGGTTAATTTTCTCACAGCGATATGAGTAAGCCTTACGTTTCAATTGAATTTCGCATAGCTTTGCCTCACTAAAGGTGTTCTCATCCAGGGTGGACTGCAGCTTCGACCTCGCCTAGGTCTCATCGACATTCCCAGCGGGACTCGAACCGTGATAATGCAGCATATAATATCTACACGTTAACCAGGCCTTTTCCTATATCACATTCTGCAGTGGAATTGTCGATGAAACAAAATTGTATTTTCCATAGTCCCGCTGAGGGTGCCGATAAGACCTAGACAAGGTTAAAGCCGCAATCCAGCCTTAACAAAAATACCTTTTGGGGAGCAACGCTATATAATATTCAACCAAAACTTAAGACCTACTCATATTATTATGGGAAAATTCAACCACCATTATTTCAGCACCCTAACGAAATTGGGGAATGCATTTATCTATATGATCTACTGGTGGTCTCAAAAACCTATTTCTAAACGAAAAATTATGTAGTGTGCTTGTGAGAGAGTATGTCGCCTTTTAGAAGGCGATGTCCACTCCGAAGTATCAGATCAA